TCTACAAAACATAGTTTTTCATTAGTTTAAGGCTTTTGCATGCATCGTACTGTGTCTCTTTCTTCTCTCTCCCACAACACCCTGTAACCAAACACTACAATTCAATGAGATGGTAAATAAGCCACAGACACATCTTAAACTTCAAACCCACAGGTGCTCCAATAACTTCCATCTCTTCCTTTTGACTCAGAAGCTGAAAGGAGCAGAAAAATATACACACCAAAAAGAGCGATAAATGTTAGAAAGGCTTCCTTTTTAAGGGACTGAGTAAGGTGACTTGCCTCAAACAGTATTAATTAATTAATTAATTAAGTCTTATTTAACAAAACTGGAACAAACTGGATATGCAGTGTTGTATTGGGGTATCAGGCAGAAATGAGTGTCATAACATTTACTGCAGTAAATTCAGCTTAATTTGCCACTCATTCTCGCAGCATCACGCAAGAATCTCTTCATCGTCCTCCCTCTTTCCTTCTTCTGAACCCAGTGCGACCCCAGCGGCGTGTAGTTCGACAACCAGTAAAGCACAAACAAACGGGGCTGTGATCGCTCTGACTCTGCTTTGCTCCACACCCTCCGCCACGCACACGAACTGCTTACTCCTTTCTGAGGTTTATGGGCCACAGCAGCAAAACCAAACAATTATGCTTCAAGAGCTGTTCACTCAACCCCTCCCACCTCTTCATTTTCCAGTAACCTCGGAAAAGGTTGGGAAATGAAATCCAAGACGGTAATAAAGCAGAAAATAAACTTTCAGATCGTTTCTCACACATGCCAGCTAGAACCAGACTCCCTCATCACCCCAAGTTCTGGAATTCACATCTCCTCGCAGTAATTCAGTGCTGGTTGGGCATGCTATTGTGCAAAATAATTGAGCGGCAAGGGAACGCGATATTTTGAGACGATACGGCTTTAACAGACTTGTGTAGAACTCTTGTTTCAGAAACCTCTATATAAATTTCAAAAGGCTTTTGAAATCCTAGAGAAGTGTCTTGGCCTCAGATTTCTTTTGAAATAACGTCTTGATTACCCTAGTAGGAAGGATAACTTGTAGTGCTTCAATTAAGCTTTAAGCAAAAATTCTGAAATGCCAATATCCTTCCCTGTCTACTGCTAAGCATGCTGTCCCAGCCATGGCTTACAAACTTTGCTTTTGGGGTGGGAAGAGGTATCTTGAGGCTAAGATATCAACATGGTTGTCCTGATCATTGAGTGCATTAAGCTAGTCTTTATCCAACAGGTTCATAATTCTAGGTGCACTCTTGAAATCCAACAAATGAGGAGAAAATGTGGAAGAGTCACTACAGAAGTGTTAAACCACGTAGTCTATGCAATCTGTAGAAAAAGCAATATACCAGTTACTACTGCTCTTTAATTAATATACCACAGAAAGCAAAGATTTCTGTGGTGAATTGCGAAAGCCAGCTTTTTCTGAGTTTCTGAGCATGCTTCAAAGTTGCAGCTTTTTCTTATCATGGAGAAGACAGGGAGTCCTGAGATCTTTTAGATAAAGCTTTCAGTAGGCTGTTCCTCCAAAATTTTCCTTGGCTTGAAGGGAGTAGGTTGGTATTGCACAGAACTACCAATTCAGCATAATGCTAATAAAAATGCTCTGAAAAAATTCCAAGAAAGCACGGGTAGGATGTTCAGTGTACAGCAACTGTGATCAGCAAAAATGTGGCTGCTGCTCCATGGACCACAACAGGTGGACACTCAACGGAGCCTTACTGAGCAGGGTGCTCCCATCTGCCCTCTTGTACATTGGTGCTTTACCCAGCCCTTCACCCAAGGTACCAACTGTCCTTCCCCAACACCTGCCAAGCTATGTCCCTGCTGTGGCTCCCTCCAGCAAGCACCACTGTAGTACCACAGCCCACAGAGACAATGCATTTGGAAGCCAGTTGTATGAAATATTTGTAAATAGAATAAAAGAGAACTTTTTTCCCCACTGATCTCTATTGCACTGAATTTTTAGTGTGTTCATACACGGTACGAAAAAACACATCAGGTAACGTGACAGAGGTAGAAAAAAAGGGCTGCAGGTGGAAGCTTCTTTCAAAGAGGGTCTGCCAGGATCTTGTAAGGCAGTGATCCTTTCCCCTCCTCTCCTGCTGCTGCTGTTCCCCCACGGAAATCCCACGTCACAGGCAGCAGGCTGAGGAACTGCAGCGCTTGTCAATGGCTGCATCCTGGTCCTTGCAAGATGAAGCAAAGAGAGACTTCAGCCCTGCCAGACCTTCAGATGCAGCCCTACCTATTGCTGATTCTCCATCCTCCAAATCTGTGTCTGAGCTACGTAACACAGCTTAGGGAGCAGGGCTGAGAGGTCTTCTGGGGAATGCGTGTGATAGAAAGACAGGAAAACAGCCATCTGTGTCAAGGCATGGCTTGTAAGAGCTACAGTTCAAGAAGAATATGTTTCTTAACCTGATGAAAGTTTTGCTGCGTGGCTTGTAAGGTTGTTGCTGCTTTTCTGCAGTGTTGCCTGAGCGCTCGTCCCAGTCCCCCGTTCACGGTCTTCTACACTGAAGACTGCAAATAGGGCCAGCATTTATACACTGCTGTCTTTCTTTAAAAAAAACCCTACCTACCTCACAACTACTAAGAAGATCTACCTGTTGGAACTATCAAACTGAAACTCATTTCATCCTCTGAGTTATTCATTAGACAGACCACCAAAAAAGAGGAAAAAAAGCAAATCAGTAAGTTGGGATCTTCACAAAGTCCCAAAATACTTCTGAAGGGCGCTTGTCAGAATAAACAAACGTACCAAAGGAACAAACAGCCTTATGAATTAAGTAAAGAAATAAATAAAGGGAAAACATACGAAAATTTCAACAACCGTGCCAATCTGTTGCAAGCTGTACCCGTGCCAGTGAGCGGCCTCGGGGCGCTGTAGGATTCCTCAGCGCAGTGCCAAGCTCCAGCAATATTGTTATGGTTAGAGAGGAATTTCTCACAAGAGCTAACAAAGGCAGAAGGTCATAAATAAACACAGCAGGATCGCCTTGTCAGTTCTCATTATTAGCGCTGCAGGCACTTGCTTTTCTATGGGCTGCTCACAGGTTCATTTAAGTGTAAGAGCTCGTCCTCAAAATTTCACATGCTCATAAATAGAGACAACATTTCTTAAGAAAGAAAGGCACACCTAAGTTATTTTTTATTATTATTTTTTATGCACACAGGGGCACATGCGCATGAGCTGCTCGTGCTGTCTGCAGCTGCCCTGTCCATACGCACCCAGACATGTTTCCCGCACTGGCCAAAAGCTTAGGCGCAGCTAACCTAGAGCTGCAATATCCTTTTACACCGGCCTCTGTTATGCCGTGCAGGCCTCCGTCAGACTGTGGCCGTAATGAATGAGGAGAGCCTTCCTACTGTAATAATGGTCACCAGAATTACATCTGGGCAGGAAATGAGGCTGAGCTCCTAAACTGATCCCGACATGCATTATGCAACTAGGAAAGCACAGCTGTGTGATCATTATTGCAATTATAAAATTACATTTAGTGTTAACTTTCTTCTGTTACTGAATTTTGAAACAGAGAGAGGGCACTACCAGAACTCCAGGGGTACAAATGTGCAAAGAAGGGAGGGAAAAGTTCTTAAGATCTCAAGTGTTGGTCGTTCATCTCCTGTCAGAAGTTAACAAACAGCCCAACTGAAAACATCTCATCTCTCCCACACAGATACATACCTATCTATCTATATATATTCATACCTATATAAATGAGTGAAAAGTAAGCTCTAGATGCAGTTTAAATAAATTAACACTATCATGTAGTGCATACCGATTTCAAGTTGCATATGCAGTGCTTTTCAGAATATTAGGGGGAATTTAGAGATCAGCAATGCTATCTCTAGAATATTTTTATTTTCTATTTATTATGCTGGAATAAAAAAATGTAAAGACGTGAAGAAAGCTCAAAGGTTCATGACCTTGGAAACATCACCATTAAATTAAAAGTAAGTAAATGAACAGGCCTTATGTTACACAGGGGATATCAGGGGATGCCTGGCAGCAGAAAGAACGCTGCTCGGTCACTGTCCCTTCCAACACTAGAGAGGTGATAGGGAATGTAATTACTCACCTGCCAAAAAACCCCAAAACACTGCTCCCTCCTGTGAACTGTACTGAACACTAATGAACTGCTTCGTTAAACAGTCGTGTCTATCTTTCCAGTGGGCTAAAATGTGACCAACGTTATCGTTACTATAATCCACACAATCTTGAATTCTCACCTTTTAAAGCAAATTGCATGACTGACAAGCAAAAGCCCTGGTGCCTCATATGCCTTCTGTGAGAAGCTCAGGAAAATAATTTTCCTTCCAGTTTGCTTCCTATCCCATCACCTGCTATCAAAGGAAGTCGGGTTATTAGTCCTGATGCGCTACAGTGGAAAAGCCATGTTCAAAGAACTCTTTCTCTCGGCTGCACAGCTCTCCATTACACACCATTCATCATTATCAACATCAGGAGTTGTTGGAACAGCCCTTGTGAATGAAAAATCTCCCTATTTAACTTTTAGAGGCTGCCAGCCCGCTCCCTTTTGCCTCTGTGCTCATGCAGGGTTTGTACTTTGGGCAGCGGCCTGCTGGCCGTGCTGCGTGCGCCTTCTCAACACAGCCCACCCTGACAGGAGGACAGCAGCCTCTCCCTTCCACCAGCTGGTACGCACAGAGCCATTTTCCAAATTTCTGACCCTATTAAGCTGGCTTCTACCAGACACAACACCGAAGGTGCTAGGGAAGCTGCTTTCTTTCTGCATACCAGCAATGGTGTGTTTCTTGGCTCCAGCCTGCTTGAGAGGAAAGAGCTGCTGGAAGTGGAAGGTGCTGGAGTAAAGGGTAACGGTTTCCAACTGGTCAGTTCCTCTGTCTCCCTCGATCAGTAGGCAAGGTGCCGTCAGGGACCTTGTAATCCCCTCTATAAGCGCAGAAACGGAGATGCTCCTCTATTTCTAGCCTCTTCCCTGTGCTGAGTTTCCCCGACTCCCCACCATCTTGCTTTGGGCCTCCAGCACCTCCATGGGCGCCATCTCGGCAGCTCCTCCTGCCAACCTGCTGCCACACACCTGCATTTCCAACCGTGGGGCAGAGACCCACAACACTGCCAGCAGCGGGGAGCACGCTCAGCATAGTGGGGGCCCGAGAGCCTCATCAACTAACGAGCAGGTTATCTGCTGTCTGCTGCCAGCGCACTCAGGGCCATGCAGCCTCAAAAGATGTCGTCCCTGCCGCAGGCAGCAGGCAAACACACTGGACACGGCACAGAAAGGGAATTTTTGTCTGATAAAATACCATCTCTTTCTTACTCACTCAAATTTTCTCTTTTCCGTCTTACCGATAAATCATTGTAATTACAAGAACCCTCCAGAAAACGAATGTGTAAACTAAGGCGGGGAAGGTGGGGAAGGCCCATAATAAACTATATTCAAAGGATAAATTCACGAAACTTAACATTTTTGTTCCTCCTTACCCACAAAGTAAGATATAAGAGAACCGAACTGGGAAGACAGCCCGCTTTGTGAATCGCGAGCCATGAGGCAGGCCACCTGCCATCTAGCACAGTTCTCCACGCATGATCTGTCCCTCTGCAGCTGGAGACGGTGAATAGTTTCATGTTGACTTCTGAGACTTCCATGTCTTCTTGACTTGTGGATCTCAAATATGGGTATTTCTATTGAGAGCGGAATACCCCAGTCAAAGCAGTACTTACATACTTTTTCCTCAATTTTTTCTTATTAATATTGTAAAAACATTTACCTATCAGACACGTTGCAATTAATTTATCTTCCCTGATCAAAACACATTTAGAAACACTCCTCTGCCACCAATTTCAAAAGAGCCGGGTTTCAGCCCACTCACTCAAACGTGCATTTGTGTTAATTCTTGCGTCTCGTTAATTATTTCAGAAGGGGAGAATTCCTTACACAAGTCAGAAAGTGTCTTAAACCTACTAAGTGCTGCGTGCTATGAACGGCGGTGGACAGAGCTGAGGAGAAGTATGTTTCTAAGGGGTCTCTGCAGCGCTTTGAAGTCGCAGTGAAAAGAACTTCAGGTTTCACAGACTCATCTTTTTTCTTCTTCTTTTTTTTAGTACGATCTATTTTGTTATTCAATGTTTGCGGTCATATTTTAGTAGCATGACACCCATGACTTTTCTGCATTTTTGATATCTTCAACTTATTTTACATAGTTACATACTTGGAATTATACCAAACATTATAAAAATGTTTCAACGGCTTCAGATTTCTAAATTAAATCGTTAAATGCTTTCTTATATTCAGCAGTATATTCCATTGCCATAGATGCACTACTGTGGAGTTTTTCCTCTAGGAGCAGGAAATATTTATTTTGTACAGTCTGAAAAAGGTCATTTTACATTTTTTAAGAGTGTGAAAAAATTATGCAAAGAACAGTTGAGGGAGGGAAAAAAAGAGCAGGAGGTATATTTCTCATAAGAATTATGGAGGTATTTTCTTGTTACAAAATATCGTTTGTTATTTTTCAATCAAAGAAAACTGCAAGGGAAGATAAAAAGGTTGAACCAACTACTCTAAAAAATTATGAATGTGCCAAAAGATCACAAATAGCACGTTAATGTCAGAGTGTTGGCTCCCGTTGACTTCTCAGGGTTTTAATTTTGCTTTTTAAAGGGAGAAGAGAGGAGAGAAACAGAGAAGGCATCATTAGACTAAATCCATCCTGCCTAGTCTTAATTTTTTAAGCTAAAACCCCCAAACTGTGTCCATGATCTGTATCAGTTTGTAACTGACCACTTCAGCTGTCCCTGACACTTGACCTGCTTCCAAAAAGCAAGAAGTCCAATTTAAGTTGACGGTCCTACAGGGAGGTAATGGTTTGACCCTTGGTCCCTTCACCACAACCGTTCCAATTCTCTAATGATTTCCCTGCAGGGTTCATTTACCAGTTCTGGGTCAATGACCAGCGCATCCATGAAGGCAAGGGGCAGCACAAGCACTGCATGATGGATTTGAAAATAAGTGCATCGTAAAGGAAAGCTCCATCAATTAGGGATGGCCTTTGAATTAAAAACAAAAGGAAGCAAAGTGCAAATCATAATGCCTACTCTGTTCACTTTAGCGGCACACAGATAGGAACATTAGGAGATGTATTCTAGCCTAGGTGCAGAACCAGCAATCATCCTAGGACAAACAGTCCCCGTTGATCCTCAGAAGAGATGGCCTTTCGCTCATTCTCAGCAACTGGGAAGTCGAAGGGATTCACTATTTGATTCCAAGCAAGCTTTTGGTACATTTTAGCACTTCAATATTATATGCACCATGACTCTAACCAGGAATATTAAGACTTGCTGTAACTAAGAAGCAGAAGATTATCCAGATCCACTTTCACTTTCTGGAATCTGTGCCTTAATTTACCTTTACAGGGAACAGCAAAATTACCAGTTACAAGTACTGCTCTTCCATCCACCCATTGCCATGCATATATTAAAGCAGCTGCAAATTTCCTTTTTTTCCAGTGGTCCTCAACATTGAAATGCACTACGCGCTTTTTTGGAAAGAAAGGTACAAGGAAGTATATTTAGTAGTACAGAAGGAGATGCTGTAAGGGCATAAACATATGAACACTGGAGAAAACAAAAGATACCCTCTGCTTGTGCCTAGTGAAAGATGGAGGGGAAAAAAGAATTATGCTCCATATTACCAGTGAATATGCAAATTAAAAAAGTATGAGAATGCTAAAAATAACTCTGAAGAAGGTCTCTGCTTTCCTGCGTGAAGTGACCAGGCGAAGCCATGTTAACAACTCGGCTGATGCTAGTCTTCGGAAGCCCTGGCCATGGCTAGTGGTCACTGAGCTCTCATTTAGCGAATTCAGATTAGTTGCAACAACTAGGGATGGTAGCTGTATCCACACATGCAACTCTTTCAGTGCTATGGTTATAAGACCACCAAAATTAAAATATGGAAGAAATCCTACAGTGACAAATTGTCTTCTTTTTGTATTATGCTTTTAATACATCTAGGTTTCCCTTCCCTATCCATTTTCAAAGGACAGGGAAAAACTGCTTATCTGGTGTTCAAAATATGTTTGTTATCATGCCTCTTGCCAAGGCGTTTCAAAATTAATAGTGATTGAGATCCCGTAAAAATACTCTAATTTTCCAAGAGTGCCAAGAAGCCTGAAAAGAAGGGACTTCTTCACAGTGTTTTAACATCAGCACCTGAAAATCACAACTTGTCTTTGAAACTTTTGTCTGCCTGTGTGCATGAGTATCACTCACTCTCTCTCCAACATTCTGCCCAATACTAATACGTGTGTATTATTTTCCACCACAAGAGGCATATATAAATCTATGAGTCTGGCTAAAACAGAAAGAAAGAAAAAAAATCAAAACTTTTCTAATGTGACTTTCTCCAACAATACATGTCTGAAAAAAAAGAGAGAGTATGATTGGTAAAACTGAGAACAGCCAAATTTAAACAGGGAGCAGAGAGAAAAAATGATAATGAAAACATTTTTAAAGCACCTTTTCTTCACAAATTCAAAATTTAAAAGCTACGTAAACCCCACAGTATTGAGCCCATCAAGCTTGAATCTCGTGAATTACCTCCTGAAGCCTTTAGTATTCTCACTTCTATTTTGGCAAAAGTGAGGGATGGGCAACAACCCCTGGGATCTGATAGAACAGGGTTTGTCTATGCGATCAGGCTGCCTGAGAATAAGTTCTTGCTGCCAACCACGCTGTATATGACAGGAAAACTTTTGTTAATAAAAACCATATTGATGTACTTGTTAATGACTTGAACACCCCAGTAATTGAATTTAAACCAGTTAACTATTCACCAGGGCTTCATCAGCCCACCTCCTTCATCTCCTCTACCCCTGCGTTGTTTCAAAGCAACTGGAAGAGTTTTACACCACCACCATCCTTCCCACCACAACCCTTTCACCATTACATGAGCTCGGGAAGCCTAGCATTTGAGCAGCTCATTTGAAGTGCTCTTAACTGCGTTTTTGAAAGAACAAAGCAGTTTTATAACTCACTCTATACAAACAGAAGGCCCTTATCCGAGAGCTTCTCTTATTTTCAGTCCATCAGTAAGTGACACTGGTACGCTACAACTGGCTACCACCACCGAGACAAGGTCTGTCTGTCCCTGACCTCATAGAGATCAATCACATCAATGTTTCTGTGTTTGGTTTTTTTTTTATTAAAAGGGATCAAGGAAAGAAACAAAGCTGCCCAAAGCACTCAAGCCCCAGGACAAAAAATGTTTTAACACAGAAGTTTTTCAATTTCCTCATCAGCAACATTATTTGAAAGCTGAATTACTAAAAGGTTGCAATTACTCAAAGACGGTTTTCAGTTTGGTTTTTTTTTTTTTTTAAAGTAGTAATTCTTTAATTTCTTTTCCCTTATTTTTCATCAATTACATTTAAGTTTCCTGTGAGTCAACACAAGGGAGTTGACAATGAAAGCCTGATGCAGCAAACCTTTCCGGAGGCCCTTAAGCCAAGTGATTTCAGCTTATAATCAGGATATGCTACAACCTGTATTCACAACTACCCTTACTATGGCTCCACCTCTACTCAAAAGCGTGGTTTTGCATGATTTCTTCTGGGCTGGCAACATTTTGCTTTTGTAGTTGCATGCAAAAAATGGCTCACTACAAACATTACTGGAAAGAAATGATCTAATTTGTTTATTTTGACTTGAATTAAATTACTCTGTGTGCACCTCATTTATCTCACACAGACCACAATTTACAATTGCCATTTATTTAAACAAATTCTGCATCTGATGAACTCCTTATTGGTGAGCACCTACAAATAACAAAGACATTTCTCTCATACCAGTCCCTCTTCCTCCCTAAATTCAGGTGGGAACAGAAAAGCCAATAGTTGTCTTTAACTTTACACTGGGTCTAAGGCCATACAATAATCATACACACTGCAAGAGACTTGCATTTGGGCAGCATCTCAATGGATTGATAGCTTGTCTGTAGAGATGTGAACTTATCAAGGTTCTGCTTAGTGTAGATATCCAGAC